CAGGTTTGGTCCATGACGTGGTTTGGTCGCTATGGTTGACGTAATAAATCTGCCCATCAGGAGTGAGTCGGGACTCCCATCCTTTCGGAAGAGGAGTGAATGGATCCGAGGTAGCGTTGTGCGGTATAGAAACATGAGGGCTGATTGGTGTCATTGGCGTAGAGTCGACCCATGGTAACGTGGGTTGAACGTCTGGCTCTTGGTGAAACTGGGTCTGGGCCGTTTTTTCTGGCATTGACCATGGGGACATGGTAGCCTCTGATTGTGGCGATATAGGAGGAGAGCTGAATACCCTTGGTGATTCGGGAGAGCTAGGAGTAGGAGATGATGGTGCTTGTGAAGTCGTAGCTTGTTCCTTCGCTTTCGTAAAAGGCACTGATACTGATACCATGTGGAGCGTATCAAGCCTTGCAGCCAAAAGCGCAGTTGGGTCAGGATTTCGTACAATAACGTCGGGGATACCTGTGATGTTGTACTCATTCCCAGATTGTGCCATAAAATATTTCTTCGTTGAAGACTTGAGCTTGAGCTTAGACCAGTCAAGGTCCGAATCCAAGAGCACCTTGAAAGTGATTCCATTCAACCCCTCGAGCCAGGATGCCAACGCCCCAATGTGCTCATCCTGCAGCAAAACTGCTTCTCCGGGTCGTAGATCAGCACGCTCACCGACAGTCCACGCGTAGAGAAACCGCCCGGGATCAAGCTGCCAAGTCAGGAGGAGTGAAGTGTCATGGCCGACGTTGGCATACATGGCTGAACCTCCGTAGGTAGCAAAGGGCATACTCCATGTATTAATGCGAATGTTGTCATTTGGCGGTAGTGGCTGTGGATATCCGACCTTCTCAATTTGTTTCAACACATCTGTAACGGCCGCAGCATCGGCTTTCAAGGCCTTTTTGTCATACTTCTCGTAGTACGGTACGCTGTGTCCAATGCGAGATGGTGATTTCTTGAACAGTTGAAAAGGATGCGGGACACTCTTCAGATAAGCTATGGCCTGGTCGATGTCTATATTCCAAATGGTAGGGTTCTCAGGGTTGCTCCAGTTTGTGGCGTTCATAACTCCGCAGCCATATCCGTAGTAGATGGGCATGGGGTGGCAAGCTGCACAGAACATGAAGCCGCAGGCGATGAGATACTGGAGAATGGGATCAAGACGCTCGAGCTCGTGAGTGAGAGCATCCTCTGAAATGTCCATCGCAACCTTGACAGCAGCGAGGGCCTGCGGTAGAGCATCGTAGTTGACGACGTCGAGTGCCATCAAGCGTTGGCCCAAAGAGGCAAAGACCAAATAGTTATCATCAAGACCAGCGCCGCTTCCACTCGAGGTTGAGCCTTGTCCTTCTTCACGTTTGTTTCTCTGGCGTAGTTCCCACCATGTCGCAATACTTGCGCCGGCTTTTACGGCTGAGATACCGATCTGTATTGAAGCAGTGATAGGGTCCGACATGGTGCAATAAAGTAAAAGGTGCTTTCACTGCTATGTTGCGGGTCCATCGGGGTTGTGTTTCTCTAAAGTATTCCAACAACTCTCTAGCTATCGATTGATAATGTACTCTGCTTCATCAGATGATTCTGTTTAGCTGCTGGTCTAGTCGGCTCGATTGTAACCCTCCAATCCAACATGGCGTTCGATAGCGCCAGCGCTAGATCTGCCTGGAACAGTCGCCCATGAATTTGGGGTACATCGATTGAGGCTGATAAGATCTTTAGCCTATCAGACGTTGCACATCATATGAACCCTGTATTCAGCTTCAAAAATGTGAACGAAAAAATGTGCCTTGTGTGCCGGCTGAGCCGGAAATGGTGAGTCTGACTAGAAGATTACTGGTTGTTGTAGAGATCAAAACGCCTGTGCATGATAATTTGAGTTTCATTAGTTAGATACAGCCTCTGGGTCCAAGGTCTCATTGAAACAAGAAATGGGCTTGTTTATGCTTATTTAGATAAGGCCAAATTGCAGAAACTTATCCAGAGAGTCATAAAGTATGTATATCGAATGAAAGGCTGTTGATGGATAAGCAAAAGAGACAAACCTCTAGCGACTCCTCTCAGGCACAGACACAGGAAGCTGCCCCCCAAATCAATGTCACTATCTCACTGCCTGGAGTGCTATCGACGAGGCGAGGCCTGAAGGCCTTGTAGAAGCGGGGTCGGTGTCCTCACGCTGCCTGTCAAACTTCTATGGGGTGAATGAAACGCCGTTTCTTACATATTATCTTCTGGAAAGCGCACTAGAGTAGACATAATATGGTCCTTTTGACAGTAGAGGGCTTCATAGGTGGGTTGGAGTGACTAGTAGGAGTGCCAAAGATAATGCTGTTGGAGTTTCGGACGGCAGCAACATAACCACATCGAACGTAAGGGTCTTGGGTGATCGAATGGCCCGTTTCCGACAGATACTATGTATTGTGGACAAGGCAGTGGTATCCTCCGTTTCCTGAAGCGAGAGTATCGAGTTCGGAATAGCTGTACCTTAGATACTGCCCGTCAGTCTACCTGGGGCCGTTGATTCTGGTGTTGTAACAATTACCCGACCTTTCAGGCGGGGAGAAACATGTTACAGCTGCCCAGGAGTTGTCCTAACCTCTAGTGCTAAAATGTCTCCGGCTATACGGACTATTAGAGTAGAATTTGACGTCTCCGCCTGGTCTGGCAATCGTGATGGTGGCTATTCCAACGCCAATCGTTGTAGTCACCGGCTAAGTCATCGTCTCCATCCTAGTGGAGATTAATTTGCAAGCAAGTGAAATTTCCTTGGTTCCCCAGCCCAGAACAGGCAAGTTCATGAGCAGTTCCGACGTCTTCAAACACATTGAGGATTTCCCTGAGCGTATGGTTGCAAGCGTAGTCCCTGCCGTCCCCCTGGCAAGGTAGTTGTTAAGTTTGTGAGCAGGTTGTGCAAAGCGATCCGCAAGCCTTTGGCTACTGAATGTGTCTCGGTAAGACCGACGGGACAGCGCATGCGGTAGACCTCGCTTCTTGATGGATTTCGGGCATCATTGGATATTTAAACTTGAACTGATTTGACAAAGTCATCCTCGGGGTCGAGTTCCGCATTCAACTGTTCGGCAACGAGTTTAGTGATGACGAAGTCAAAGGTTTCCCTGGCGGCGGTGGAGAGATCATCAATCGAGGTTGAAAGTGGACTTCGGCCTTTTCTAGTGGTTAGCGCGGTCGATGTCGGCGTGGCAGTGGTAATACAGTAACAGTCCAGTCTGTAATAGAAGGGATTTGTATCGGAATTGTTGACGAGGAAAGATTCGGTGTGGTAGGGTCAGGAGTGGCATTGGCTGTAGTCGACTCTCACGCGGAAGCACTGGACTCTAGAGCCGTATATTGAGATGCAGTTGACTCCAGGACTGTAACAGAAATGCACTCTAGTGTTGCAGATGAGATTGGTCCCGGAGCTCAAGAAGTTATTGAATCTGATGTCAGAGGTGACTCTGAAACAAGTAATAATCCAGATATCGATGAAGGTATTGACGTCCAAGACTCCCAGCTGGCTGGCAAGATGCCAGATGATGTAGCCAGTTCTTGGTTTACCATCGGAGACGGCCCGGAGGTACTGGGCGAGGATTCTTCAGTGCTTGTGTTGGTCTTTGTAGACAGAATGGATGTTTTAGGCTTGATTGAGGTAGCTAAGCTTAACAAGGAGTGTTGCATCCTGGCGATAACGAATACCGAGCTCAGAAATAAGCCCGCTAGTCGTGTAAACCAATACACGAACGAAATTGCTCGTATATGCAGGTTTTATTAGCGTGCTGTGTGGAAGGTTTGTTTGATCCAGCCGAGATGGGTAAATCTACTACATTAGCTTAGAGTCTATCGAAGAATCGAGGGGCCTTGCGTCTTGTGCCCGCCCCTGCAGTACCTATACGTTACGTTAGGGTAGATCATCATGAATAACATGTGTTGAAACTCACTTCTCCCAACACCAAATAAGCGGGTTGCTACGACTAACCCAGGGTGACACGGATTGGCTAGAGGATAAGTGAGGGTTGACTGATAAAGCGCGATCAGGGATCAACAGTCACAGGGCAGGCGAAAATCCTGGACTATGCTGCAGGACCCATTAAAGGCTCATATTCTGCAGGAGAGTTGGTACGTGTCAAGAGGAAACGCGCCATGTCTAACGCCACAACGTGCCGCCGCATAATTAGCTGAATACGATCATCCGCTTGTGGGATAAATGTTTAAACACAAGCTGAGATTCTTATCCGTTGTGCGTAGCGACCCAATCGGGATGCGATGTCTGTCACTTAGTCAGGGTTAAAAACAGGGGTTAACTTAATGCTACGATTCGTGCCTGAAATAGCGTTCCAAGGCTTTATGATCAAGTACAAGCGCTACTGTGATAGCTACAATAACGGTTATCCCAGGGAATGAATGAAACAAGCCTAGGCAGGAGAAAACGCTTCACTGGGTCTTCTAACATTCAACCTCATGACATCCCGTTCCCAGGAAGCAGGTCCTCAACCTTTCGAACGTTACGAGCTTGGCCGGCCCGCTGCTGAAGACGAAAGAGACTCGCTGGAACGTTGGACTTTCGTTCTTCCAGCCCTAAATGTTCGTCTAATCTTTAATCCGATTAGCGGTCATCTGATCCTTAGTTCGATTGGCGGCATATGGCCTCCCATGTTGCTGGCGACCGTAATGAGCCAGAGAGCGGGAGCATGGTAGTCTCACGTACCCCATGGGTTAGCGAAGCGCTAGCTTATAAGCCCACCTGACCTTCGATTTCCCCGGATCGTCTTGTGCCTGAATGGATAGTTCGAATATTTAGAGTTCTGGCTAGCGAATGCCATCGTGCCCATGCTCTCAGTTCTGGCTCTACTGTACTGGTCGGCCTTGTGGATAGGGGGGCATAGGACTAATCTGAGGTGTGTACGCCACTGTCCCTGTCCTCGCTTTGCTATTTAAGGCCAGCAGATCCACACTGGTTTCCGTTTTTACTGAGGATATTCTCAGCGCGGGCCGATGTGTCGTCATGGTTAAAAATGCCAGACTACACTCCAGACATCTATGTTGCCGTCTCGGTAACTTTAGCAGCTGCCGCTTTCGCCCTAGTTTTACGCCTCTACGCTAGACGCATCACCAAGGCCGGTTATAGCCACGATGACTTCCTTGCTGTGGTTGCATTTGTACGTCAATGTCTACTTCATATTCCAGTGAACTTGCGTGCTAACCTGCGAGTACAGCTCGGCTCGTTGAGCTATAATATAGTGACACTGATTTGTATAGAATGACCCTGCCTCTCGGCTATGACGCTTCCTAACCTATGGTCTAGGGAGTGTCAACTTTGGACTAGGTCGACCCATCGCCGACGGGCCCAAAGCCATGTCCGAAGCTGAGCGAATAAAGAAAGCACGGATAATGGTTTTCTGTACCAGCGTGACCTATACATTCGCGATTGCTTTTGCGAAACTTGCCATACTAATGTTCTACTGGCGGATCTTTAAGTTTTCCACAATTCGATTGGCAATTCGAGTTCTACTCGTCTTAACAGTCTCTTGGTTCCTACTGAGGTTATTTTTGGTGACACTTCGGTGTGTTCCTATTCAAGCTCTTTGGGATGACTCGATCAAAGATGCAAAATGCAAGATTGGCGCAGCTACCTTCTTCTTCTCGACAATCTTAACGCATGTCATACTCGATGTAGCAATACTCGCACTACCCGTTATAGAAGTCGCGAAATTACGGCTCGCTATCGGCCAAAAGGTTGCCGTCATCTCGCTCTTTATGTTTGGCGCACTGTAAGTGTATCAGGTGGATTTCAAGTGGTTTTTGTGACTAAAAAAGACAAATCTTGATAGGGTCTGCTTTCTCTCGATCTTCGTTCTGATACAGTCACGAAAGTTTGATTCAAAATCGAAAGAGGTGAATCTGCAAATGGGGGATCATACAGCTTGGGCTGTAGCCGAGGTCAACCTTGCGGTCGTTTCTGGTAATCTTTGTTTGGCAATACTAAATGGCTTATGTTGATACTGACAACGGCCCAGCCTCGCTTCCGCTCCTTCGGCCAATACTCCGCAAGGTGATACCGGGCTCGATTTTCACGACGCGCAGCAGAAGCAAGACAACGCACTCACTGACCCAATTCAGCCGAGGCATCAAGCTGACGAGCATCGCAAAAACCAAATCGAACGTGAATGGCGAGTCAGGTTCGACACACGAGTTAGCCTATGCTGAAAGCCTTCCCTCAGATATGGCAGGATCTATCTCGGAAATTCCATGCGGAAGGGAGGTAGAGGCGTGGAGCCCTGGGAAAACGTATGAAATGAAGGTAAATACCAATGAAGTTGCATAGAATATATAAGCATAGGATGTAAGGAGTTCCCATAGGCTCTACCAAGGTACTGAATATGACTTCGGTTTGTCTACCTTTTGGTTGAGCTCCGCTTCCTGTCTAGATACCATCACTGAAGCAAGTCATCATGCCTAACAACCCCCATCCTAGCGGCTAAGCTCAAAAAAAAAAAAAAAATAAAAGAAAAAGAAAAAGAGAAACCGACCGCAATATCTAGAGGCTGGCCCGCCAAAGAACAAAATATCGCATCACGCAGCTTGAGAACATGGTCGAAAGTCTGTGGCAAAAGCGCAAATTGCATTGTGAATGGATCAGCTACAGAATGTTGCAAAACAAAAAGATGATGATCTTTCTAGGTTCTCTCGGCTGGATTAAGCTCTCAGCCACAGGTCTCAGCAGCAAATAACACTTCTGGCTCACAACTTAGACATTATACAAGATGATCTTTCAATGGTGCTCGATTTGCTGAGCTCACCCATTCATCGTCATTTTAGCGACTCGGCCGCGGCAAGAAGCCATGCTCCAAATGCAAGTTCTCAATCATTCACGTACCAATCAGTAAATGGAGCTACATTCCCGATGTGGGGAGAACCGAAAGTTCCGGTCGTTAGTTCAAGAGCATCAGCAGAATTTCATAGCTATTCCATGCTGGAAACGCCATGGGTCCTCCCGCAAGCGAACCCTTTGCCTCCCACGGCTGAAACAACGACACCCACACTGTGCCACAAACTGAAGCCTCGGTTCCCGGTCACTCAGCGCTGTTTGAACTAAATGTCGAGAGAGGGGGCTCGCTAGGAAGTGCTTCCATTTTATAGGGCCTAGCACATCGCAGAACGCTCGTCGTGACCGAAGAAGTAACCGAGACCACCTCAGGGGTAAAAAGGAAGAGGGGGAAGAAAGCTGTCGCGACTGCATCACCGAACTTTTCAAGGGACATTTTGATTACAGTACCAGGGCGTGGAATTGTTATAAATCGCTACCTCACATACCTTGCAGCCGTACTTTAGTCGTCTGCTTCCTCTTGGGCTGTGCATTTCCTGCGAACGGCTAAAGATAACCTGCGTTCATGACCTTCCTTCTCTTTAATGGCCGGGGTTCCCCCTACTTGAAGCCCTTTCAAGCTAGGCAAGCTGATTCAGCGCTTCTGTAGAGGTGATTTATATCTCTTTGTAAGTGTTTTTGGTGTGTCTCTAGATCATCCACGTCCTCTTCCTTTCGTGACCGACTCCTCTTTCTTGCCCGGCTTTCTTGTGCATGTGCGATGAAAATCGACTTGTATATCCGTTCCTTCCATTCCTTAGAGTTTTTTAGGGTTTCCAGTTAGGGGATGTCAGTTTGAGCGGTAAGATGAAGCTATTCGTAAGAAATACTTCGAGGAGGAATCCCCATAGAAGCGCTTGCCAAAGACCACGCCGGAAACGATGCTCATAGCTTGTATATGACCTCAGCTGATAACCGCGGCCAACATAACTTATTTCATCATTATACTTAGCAGCTGTATTTGCTAGGATTGCTTGCATTTCCCTTTGCCTTTATCGCTTTGAACCCTATGGGGGCAGGTTCATTCTTCACAAGCGTAGTCTCTTTACTCCTCCCTGCGAAAGGGACCATACACTCATCTACGGCGATATGAGTCCCTGGAAGAAAGAGTTGCAAAGACATGCTTCGTATGTGGTGAGACCAAGACTCGGCCGCTCGGAAGGCCTTTGGGAGACTTCTTCATCACTCAGAATCAGACTGGCGAATCTATCTACCAATATAGACAAAACATAGAAGTAGATCTACATAGGTTTATATCTAGATATCAATCAAAGGTCTATGTGGGTCATCTATCTATCTATCCAGACCTCTGATAGATACAAAATGTAGATAGATATACCAAAAGTAGAGGTATCATAAGCATGGCATTTGTACCTTGTATTCAAAGCACTAGTAATTGTCTTAAGGTTGCTCCCCCTTTTCATAACACACGACATGAGCATTTGATCTAATCCAGGCTATTTGCCGCATTAGCACATCTCAGCTCGATCCTGAAGGAGGGAATCGGGTGTTTAGGCATGCCATAGATAGCGCGCCGAGCCGCTGCATTTTGAAAAGAATCAGAGTTGAGAAACAGCTGATTGCCATAGTACGCATTGACTTTACAGTTATTTCCGCCGTCCACTTTTAAGGTTCTATAGAACATTCGGAAATCGGGTTGGGCATGAGGAAGAACGATTTGCTGCCAGACACTGGTCAAACGATCCGTGTCAGCGTTGAGTTGTCTCTTTCTCGTCTGGTCACCACCGGGGAGAATATTCATTCTAGGCACCGGGTTTCCCTCGTTTCATTGTAATCGAGTGGCCCATATAGTAAAATATCTAGTTTTAATGTTTCCGAGTTAATGTGATGCGGCTGCTGCCTCATGCCTTAGAAAGGGTAGCAAACAGCCCTCTCGGGCTTGCAATGTTACACAAAGCTAGCTTCCCCTCACTCGCCGTTTAGCCTCCCTAGAAAGCACCAGATCTACCGGTCAAAATATATGTGACCAACGAGCAGATCTTAATTTCTACCAATCTTGCGCATCTGCGCAGAGCTCACACTCGCCAAGGATGGCAACCCTTTGTCTCCTATCCGAGCGCATTTGCGCAATCATAATGTGCCAGGTAGCTACAAGGGCGTTTTCAACTAGCTGAGAGTGCACAAGGCAGAATGCGGGCTCCATGTCATCTTATGGGCCCTGGGCGAATCGGCGAGTGCTTTACGTCGCACTCAGTACCCTGTTTCCGTTGAGTATCAAGGCGGGTGGATGTCGTCAACACCTTTGAACTAACCTCTCCCTATTTCAGGAACTAGATACCTCGATGTACGACCCGATCAAGCTTGCGAAAAGTACTCGCGCTCGGCTTTACTTGGCTTGAACTGCTCTTACGATAACGATCCCCGAACCGAGGGCTGTTGGGGTTACCACTTTACCCACGGCAATGAAGGCGAGGAACTAACTGATTTCTTCTGTCTGACAATGCGCCAGACGCCTCGAGTCTGCCGAGGGTCTACAAGAATCACTACGATACGAGTCTCAGACAGCTGTCCTATAGCATTGTTTTGTTCGAACCTCGACTCACTTGGCTTGATATATCTCGTTGAGATATCATAAGCTTTAACTATCAATCGAACCTCGACTCACTTGCGGCACGGATACCGGGTATTGTTTACCATTACTCTATTTCACTTCCAGATTTCCTCTAAGCGTCCTTCCCATCTGATGTTGAGCTGGATGTCTATGTTCCGGGAGATGAGAGCCTCTGCTGGCAAATTGACTGCTGGAACGAGGGCTGACTGTTTAATAGCATGGCTACTAGGCTGCTCACTTCCCTGGTGGAAAGATAACAATACGCTGGTACAAAAACACACAGAACAGTTGGGCCGTAAGAAAGCACCTCGCTTGCAAGAGGCTAGTCGCGGAATGGCAATGGCCGTTTCCAAAGTTATTGAAGAGGGTTTACAAAGTCTCAGTAACTTCATAGGATCACTGTTGCTGGTCATCTCGAGGAGTACTGTCGTGTAGATCAGTGAACCTGGAAATAACCCCTTTCCACCAACTGCATCCCAAGATTTCGTGATTTTGTTCGAATTGCGCCACTCAAGGCTGTTTTCCAATCAAATAGCCCCTATATCAGCTCTGTGAGTGAAGAAGGACCTCATTCTTGAACCCTGGTTAGAAACCCCTCTCATGCTTTACGTCGTCTCCTGATGACCCTGTCATCTACTCGCGTGTAGAAAAATTGCTGATTCTAGCCACGATGAGCAAATTTCACCAACGCGCCGTAAAAGAAGTTACACATCGGGAAGTTTACGGGTTCAGTATCGGGATGTTGTTGACCCCGAGATGCCTGAAATGTGTGAAACGTCAAACGGAGGATTACTGTTACTCATGTCAGGATTTAGTTTGGTACGAGTTATACGGGCCCACTTCAACCGTCGCGAAAAAAAGAGTGGAGCTCGTAAAACGTCCCGAAGAGGAAATCGTCTCTTACGAGGGAGCGAGGATGCGCAGAACTCGACGAGATTGAGACAGGGGTTTCAGGACGAGATGTGCTGGCTACATAAGATATTACGCGCTGACGGAGGATGACTCGAAATTATTGTGTTGGTCTTTGTCCCATCTCATTCTTATCTTTAACTTTATTCTATTCCGTTCCACTGCAATTGCAGCCTTTCTTTCTCAGTCTATCCTTCATCTACTCTTTTCCAGCAAGCGAGCGCATGCAGTTGTTGTCGCTCGGCATAGACACCCCAATCCCCGTGTTACAAAATTTGCGCTATAACAGTAACGACCTCAGTTTTCTTCTTCGATGCAGTATTTTGCTGTTGTACTAATACCTTTCTCTCAGCAGGCTACGACGTTCTTCCCCTTCCTCCATCATGGCCGCCGACGCCAAACCCCCTAACGACGCTGAGCACGATGACGAGAAATCCCCCGCCACGACCCAAGATACACAAAGACCCCAGCGAACACCAAAAGTTGCCGACTACATACGAGTCTTCAGTTACGCTACAAAATGGGACTTCTTCATCTACGCCCTTGCCTCTTTCGCATCCATTGGCGCTGGAATTACCATGCCGTTGATGAACATCATCTTTGGCCAGCTCGTCAATCAGTTCACAGACTACTTCAGAGATACCTCGAGCTTCCCGACCGATAAGTTTCAATCCATCTTGAACCGACAGGCGCTTTACATCATGGCCCTGTTCTTGGGGCGCTGGGGCCTCAACACCATCAACAAATACTGCTTCAGAATGATTGGAATCCGACTCTCGTCCGCTATTCGCCTTCATTACCTTCAATCTCTCTTTTCACAGTCCATTCACGTCATCGACTCCATGCCTGCCGGCGCACCCGCTACTGCCATCACTGCGACGTCTAATACCCTTCAAGTCGGCATCTCAGAGCGACTAGGCACGTTCCTGGAGTTCAACGGCACCATCTGGGCAGCTATCATTGTCGCTTTCGTGTGGAGTTGGGACATCACCCTGGTCACTGCGTCTTTGATCCTTTACATGATGGTCATCCTGTCCATCTCCATGCCAATTCTCGTCAAGGGCCAGACCGCGACTGGACAGGCGGATGCTCAAGGTACCGCAATTGCTAGCGAAGCTCTCCAAGGGATTCGGCTCGTCACTGCCTGTGGCGCTCAATCCCGCGTGATGGCTAGATACAGAGTCTGGGTCGAAAAGGCTATCGAGGAAGGTCAAAAGATGGCGCCCTTCATGGGTCTTCATCTCGGCATGATTGTATGACCCCAAATGCCCCTTCGGCACCCGATACTAATAGCTCTCTAGTTCTTTGGAGTCTTCGGCACTTTCGGTCTTGCCTTCTGGTATGGAACGCGACGATACATCTCCGGCGCCATTGACAGTCCCGGAGTCATTGTCATTGTTCTCATGTCCGTCATGCTGATCCTCACCTCTCTCGAACGTATCGCCACTCCTCTCATGGCTGTTAGCAAAGCCATGGTTGCTGCATGCGAGTTCTTCACTGTCATCGATGCTCCCATCCCGTCCTCTGGCTCCCTCAAACCTGACATTACCTCTTGTGACATTTTCTTCGACGACGTGACTTTCGAGTATCCCAGCCGTCCTGGAGTCCGTATCCTGGACGGGCTCAGCTTCTCCATCCATTCTGGACAGAACACAGCGATAGTTGGTCCTTCAGGCTCAGGAAAGAGCACCATTGTTGGCTTGCTTGAGCGCTGGTACTCATTGAAGGAACACCACGTCTTGCCTCAAGTCGTTGAACCCAAACCTCAAAAGAAGGCTAGCGAGGAGCCCGAGGAGCAATCCGAGGAAGAGGCGCCTGTAGTCAACCCTACCTTGGCTGGCTCGGTTTCCATCGGCGGCAACAACCTCGAAGACCTTGATCTCAAATGGTGGCGTTCACATATCGGTTTAGTGCAACAGGAACCCTTTCTCTTCAACGATACAATCTTCAACAACGTCGCCCATGGTCTTATCGGCTCCCAATGGCAAGATGAGCCTGAAGAGCAGAAGCTCCAGATGGTTAGAGACGCCTGCCAAGAATCCTATGCCGATGAGTTCATCAACCGCCTTCCTGATGTAAGTCTCTTAATCTCCTCACCTTCCCAGACATTGTCATTCTAACCAATTCATGCAGGGCTACAATACGCGAGTCGGCGACGGCGGCGCAAAGCTGTCGGGCGGCCAGAAACAACGCCTAGCGATCGCAAGAAGCATCATCAAGAAGCCCAACATCATCATTCTCGACGAAGCCACCAGCGCCATTGATGCCAAGAGTGAGAAGATCGTCCAAGCTGCCCTCGATAGAGCCACGCAAAACCGTACAACCATCACCATCGCGCATCGACTATCTACTATTAAGAAGGCCGACAACATCATCGTGCTGCAGAGTGGGAAAGCGGTTGAGCAAGGCACACACGCGGATCTCATTACGAAGGCCCATGGAGTTTATGCTTCTCTTGTCAGAGCGCAGGCTCTGAAGGTTGCTGATGATCAGGAAGAGAAGGGCGCTCTTGTGTCGGACGATGAGTCTCACAAACATCATCCTGATGCCAAGCTGGCTGATGTCACTGCGACAATCACACAAAAAGAAGCCCCCAAGAAACCTCGTGGTCTCTTCAAGAGTTTCGGAAAGCTACTATACGAAAGAAGACAGAAGTGGCCTAACTTCCTTGGTATTCTCCTCTCGTCAATGGCCGTCGCAGCTGGTACCCCCATCCAAGCTTGGCTCTTCGCGAAAGCCCTCGGGGTCTTCCTTCTTCAGGGCAGTGACTTGAAGAGCGAGAGCCAATTCTGGGGGTTCATGTGGTTCGCCCTCGCTGGAGGCGTCGGCCTTGCATATCTCTGTGAGGGCTGGATCGGATTGCGAGTCCAGTACTACGTCAGCGGAGTGTACAAGTCCCAGTACCTCAATGACATGCTGTATCAGAAACTCTCCTTCTTTGATCAGGAAGATAACTCCCATGGGTCTCTGAGCTCTCGCGTTTCGAGTGACGCTAAACAGCTTGAGGAACTTCTTGGCATCAACCTCGCACTCATGCTCTCTGCAATCTTCAACATCACAGGTTGTGTCATCATTTCACTCGTCTTCGGCTGGAAACTCGGCTTGATCTCCATGTCTGTCGCTCTGCCGCTCATGATTGCTGGCGGATGCTGGAAGTACAAGCATGAGGTTCACTTTGACAAGATGAACGCGGCGGTCTTCCAAGAAAGCTCCGCATTCGCCACCGAAGCCATTGAGGCTATCAGAACAGTGTCGTCACTTACCATGGAGGACTCCATCAACAGTCGGTACCGCGATCTCTTGGATGGGCATGTGAAGGCGGCCAACCGAAAGGCCCAGTGGACGTCGGCGATCTTTGGTTTTGCAGACAGTGTCGGCCTCGGATGCCAGGCTTTGCTGTTCTGGTACGGCGGCGGTCTCCTTATCAGCGGAGAATACTCTATGGAGGCGTTCTTTGTCTGCTTCATGGCTGTCATCCAGGGAGCAGAGGCTGGCAGTCAAGGGTTCGGACTGGCGCCAAGCGCTGCCCAAGTGACTGCTTCCGCGAACCGCATTCTCGACGTGCGGCAATCTGTTCATCCAGACCGACAGACACATGGCAAGGACGGAGAGGGTGTCAATGACACTGACGGCGGAGTCAAGATTGAGTTGCGCGACGTCTCCTTCAGATACCCCACGAGAGACGTTCCCGTCTTTGACAAGCTGAACCTTACCATTGAGAAGGGTCAGTATGCCGCTTTTGTAGGAGCATCAGGCTGTGGCAAGACAACCGTTATATCGCTTCTCGAACGCTTTTATGACTTGGAGCCTGGAAGCGGTGCAATCCTGTGCAATGGTCAGGACATCAAGGATATAAATGTCTACGATTACCGCCAAGTTCTGTCTCTCGTATCTCAAGAACCCGCTATGTTTAGAGGCTCCATCCGCGATAACATTCTCTTCGGAATCGATAATCCAGAGTCTGTGACCGATGACAGGATCCACCAAGTCTGCCGCGATGCCTTCATCCACGACTTCATCGTCTCACTTCCCGAAGGCTACAATACCGACATGGGTCACAAAGGAATATCGATGTCTGGAGGGCAGAAGCAACGAATTGCAATCGCCCGTGCCCTGATTCGAGATCCGAAAATTCTTCTTCTTGACGAAGCGACATCAGCCCTTGACTCAGAGTCTGAGAAGGTTATTGCGGCTGCGATTGATACAGCTCGCAACGGACGAACTGTCATCTCTGTAGCTCACCGACTTTCAACGATTCAAAATGCAGATGTCATCTTCGTCTTTGATGATGGAAAGGTCATCGAGAAGGGTTCACATACGGAACTCGTCAACAAGCAGGGCATCTACTGGGAAATGGTGCAAAACCAAGCTCTGGATCAATGACCTTTGGTCAACTTCCCAGCCAACTCTATGTTTCATTTTCTGTCTTTATCGACAATCTTTTGTAGGCTTCTCTTCTTAGATACAGCGTGCTGTCATGGCTTCTTATTTCTCTACTAGATTTCGTTTGCAAGATCAATGCCTTCGCATAAATCGAAGCATCTTGCAAACATGACTTGAAGGATCAGATGTTCATAGTATACACAACTTATTATACAAGTCTCTCCACTAATTCCATCGCATGAGGCCAACCTCTCGCTTCCCATCGCTTGCTTCGAAGTCGCTCTCATTCCACCAACTCAGGCCAGAGGGTGATTATATCTCCCAATAAAGGTCTGCCAGCTGCTGAAGGCGGTCTTCTCTTCCATTCAATAGCATCAAGCTCCCCCTTCACTTCGGCCGTCTCCTCCACAAGCTGCCACTCCCCTGTAGTCTCATCCTTATCCAGATAGCAGAAAATAACTCGGTCACCTCCTTCTTCGAACAGATATTCCCTGCGTAGTAACCTGTGCCATTGCTCTATGGCTGTACCTTCGGATGCATTTATCCTCTCCACGACCTTATTCCTGTGAGATAGTAGGTACAGCGAGCGGGCGTTCCAAATCCCGTCTTGGCCAGGGTAGTCTTTTAGCAACCATGTAGCTTCATCGCGAAGGAGCGCGTCTCGACAGAATAATGCGATGAGAAAGAGATGCGATGCCATGTTGCATTGTAAAGAAAGCTGCTGCGCCGGGTTCTTCAAATCTCGCTTCGCAATGCGGATGCTGATCTCGGCTAGGGAGAGGTACTCGCGAAATAGGGGAGTCTTGGCTTGGATTGGTTCAACGTCGTAGAAATGCGTGAGATCATCGAAGGTGCAAGTACCGAGATAATGCAAGCGAAGATGGACAGCTCTGATGTAGTCAGTTGATTTCGTGTCTGACATAATTGCGCGGTTGAAAAGAGGCATGAATGCAGCTTCGAGTGCCCTTAATTCCTTCGTGGAGGCTTCACAGATTTCTTTGATACGTGGATCAGCCGTGATTTCCCTCCAAACTCTGGAAATAATATCAGGATCCGATGAGACCAAAACACCAGTATTTTGGACAGCCTCCATGAGCAGTGGAACCACAGCAAGTTTGGCATTCCGGCCAGTAAGCCAATACTTCTCGAAGTCGTCCAGATTGTCGAGAACAGACGGTAATTCTTCAGTCGGCGGGTAGTCGCGAGGTATCTGGTTTACCATGGACATGAAAGACTCGACCGTATGCTTCTTGGCGCGTAGACCTCTGGTGAAGTTTGGTACAGCGGGGCTACGGCCGATATTCCCGCGTAAGATAAGTCTTGTTTGGGGAAGCAGTTGGGAGAAGATGTCTGCTACCACAGCGATGAGCGGCTTTGGGTTTGGGGCGATGGATGTCATCAGAGTAGAATCTGCATCAGTCAAGAGCGCAAGCAACATTGCCAACCCATGGTTGATGTGATCCAGCGCAGCTTTCCTGTTTCCTCGCAGTGTCTCAAAACACAGAAAGAGAACTGAAAGGAATACGGCATCATGTATCGAAACCTGTTGACTCTGTAGTTTGAGCGCGTGGCAGTAGTGCGACACCGCGTTCAAATAGTCCGGATCCTCCTGCGCGGCTTCATTATCCGCCGATAACAACGAACCAAGTGAATCATGTTCCAACTTGGCGAGCCATTTGCTCAATGCGCCGATTGCTATCGCGGCATGCCGTACAATGTCGTTGGTGCGTGAAACTTGAGGTAACGTCACGGACCATAAATCGCTGTTGAACCCAGCGGAGATCCACGGGCTCTGCACAACTTGTATAAACTCGTCAAAATAAAGAACACTCTGAGCGTCTCGAAAGTCGAGAGAATCCTGAACAAGGTGAAGCTGTGTCTTCAAGGGAGCTGTCCAGGTGACTCGTTTCGAATCCCATTGGAACTGGCCTGGTCCCCTATTCCGCTTTCTGTCCGGGATGGCGTAACCTTCACATTGTCGGTTATTTCTCACACAATTTCGACAGTGAGGCTTTGCTTCGTCACATTTGACATGACGCTTCTTGCAGGTGACACAGCCTGTTCTGACTTTGCTTGTACTCGTGCGAGTCAGCTTTGGCTTGGTGGATCTAGATCAATTGTCAGCTTATGAACACATTTCAAAGAGTTGGCAAAAGTATTCCTACGATGTACAAAGTTCAAAGGATATTGGCAGTTGGTCTGTCTGGGGATCCATGGCCGTCTGGTGGAGAGATGAGGTGCATCGAAGTCAGCCATGCTGACATGTTGCTATTGCATTTCGCGGGGTCCGGTTAAAGCCCGAATCGCGCCGAGTATTGTTCCGCGACGCCGTTGGTTGTTGGTTGTTTGTTTTTTGTCGTCATGAATGCTTGGCATTTAGCGGAGTAGTATTGAGACATTGTGCTTTCACGTTATCTTACGAAGGAGACGAAGATATATGTAGTTTTGTATTCTCAGAAATTCACCCAGGGAGCCATCTTAGGCGGCTGTGCGATATCGCGAAAGGGGCAACGGGTCTGCGAACTGTATGTAGTGGTTTTTGCGTGTAAATTCTGCGGCAAATTCGACCAATGGAGCATAGAATGAAAATCTTGATACAATTCTTTGAGAAACACAATCCTGTTGTCTTGGGTCAGTCAGATGACTCTTGTCGAGAATAAGTTGAACATGGTCACGTAGACCAAGTGAATTTACGAATACGTTTACATCCAGCTCCGAGAAGAAGACATGTAAAAAGAAAATCGCTGTCGTCGCTTGATACACTTTCAAGCTGGTCTTACGGACAACGAAGTGGCCGTATATGTACAAACAGCTCATATCAATCACAATTCTGTCTAGAAGAGCTGTTGAGTGGCCGTACGAAGCTGGCAGGCTCACAGCCGTCTTTCTGGATATGCTTGGAAGGAATTCGGCAGATGCAAAACTGTACATCTGCTTATGCGGGAGAAAGGGATAAGCAAGGATAATGCCGTCAGTCACGATCTACCAAGTTTTGTTAGCCTTACATTCTGTCGCTCATGGGATGATAATTCATGACAACATGACCAGTTGCCTACGGCTGGTGTCGTCGCAATCGCCGCCGTCATGAGAAGACGAGAGTTCAGAACAGCTTCAAGATGAACCAAAAGAATCACCACGTGCGAACAGAGTTCACAAGTGAGAACCTAATCTCGTCGGTCCCGTGTTAAAAATTCTCTTAAGCATGGTGTATACTTATCACCAAAAGCTGTGTTCCGGGGGCCGCGGATTGAAGAGCTGCGCAAAGTTTCAAGATATGGTGAAAGCTCAACACGCAGGCAAGGATGATTGAACAAAACGCTCAACTCTTTGAGCCTTGGCCATATTGTTATGTCACATATCACAGGCAAATCCGGGGACCGACAGCTGTTTTCGGGCTCCGCGGGGAGATTTATTCGTCACGATGCGTATCAATCGTGTTGAGCAAGGGCCTACCCTATTCTGGGTTCTTGGAAATGACGCAAAAGCTGCTAGTTTGGACGAGATTGATTGGTCCTCCCAAGTGAGCTGTCAAATTGCTTAGTTTTAGCATTTAACCCTGAATCTTACGATATATCTTCTCGAATAAGCGTTGGGATGCCATGCCCAACAGCGTTTCGCAAATGCATGTGTCGTGGCTGTGAGCTGGTTTCTCACGGCTGATGTGATTACGGTAGTGGATTTCCCGCATCCTTCGGGTCCCTAGCTCCAGACTCTACCCTGTTTTGCATTGAATCCTCCGGCTATCAGATTGGTAGCGAATGGTGATCATTCTTTTAGCATCAAATCCTTCTGTTTTTGGTTTGGGGGCCAAAGTGAATGGCGGCGGAAAAGCGAAAATTGACGGTCTGGGCAGCAGCGCGATTGGCCAGGTTAAATGCTCTCCGATTGACACGATTGCTGATTGAGGAAATGCCCGACGCGACACGTGCAAACTTGCATCACAGACTCACAATTACAATTAACAGGAATCACTTTACTCTCAATAAATACTGTGGGAGGTACTGTAGGGCTGAAGAGGGTGGCAGAGTCGAGCCAGCCAAGGCAGAATGACTGCTCTTCTAGACCTTTCCTCCCCTTTGAAGATCACAACACATGCCAATCAGAAGCAGGACATCAGCCTGGACCAAGCCTCTGCCCCTCCAAATTTAACACGCGACTAGCCCGGCTGTTTTCCTTGCACAAGGGGGCACAGATCAGCAGGATTCACTCCACATTGATTGGCGATAAATGGGGCTGTGTTTGGGCTCACTGGCTGGCCCGTAAAGCAACAAATGCAGCGCTGGATGCACAGGCAACAGGGCACAAACAGTTGTGAGTGACTGTGCCTCGTATTACCTCCAACATGCAATTCGGCGCATACCCGTTACGGCCACTGAATGTTGGCTCCAAACACACTCAAGCTCAAGAGTCATGATAATTTCGCGGGCTGTTTGAGGCGGTTGGAGACTTCATGATCACAGAATCTGGAGCTGCATTGGCAAAGCTGTCGACAGCAACAACTGTGAAGGACCATCTCGCATTCTGAACCGTGTTACCGAGCCCCTTGGCCCCTTGCAGCTAAGCTTCAGAGGAAATTAGAGGCGAGGGCCAATCAAATCGATTGCCATTAGCGAGCCCAGCCCTGGAATGGCCCCTGTGTTTGGGGGACCCATCTTCTAAAATCTGCGAAATCTGACGGGATGCATGGATCTTGACGTCCATTTCAAACGTCGAATTTCTATGCAACTTGTCGGTCAATCACTGAATCTGACCGCCATTATTATTATTATTACCATGTTGCACTTTCAGATTTGTCGCGACGAGTGTAATTGATGGGAAATGCAGATTGTGTCCCTTGAACTCTATGTTTGGGCTAGATTGACGCCGCCCAGCACCATCTTCATGTCGACGCTGACAACGGCACCCCTCAGCCCGTTCTGGTGCGTGCCGAAGATCCGGGGCCAGCCGCCCCAAAAAGCCAAAGTCACACGAGTCATCTCCTTTTCAGTGCCCCGTTGTAACTATTTTGATCACCGACGGGAGCCCTGATTGGAGCCAGACACATGTAAAATGTCAGCGCTGGCAGAAGCTGACCCCCCGAAAGGGCAAAAGGGCTGAGGCTGAGGCTCCCTCCACATGCAGTACAGGTACAGGCAGTTCAGGCAGTAAGAAAACCCCTTAATAACGGTCTTGCCCGTGGTCCCAGCTCGGCGCACTCTGTTTCAAGCTTTTGCCATTGCTGTTGTATCTTTTTGCCATGCGATGGTTATCTGTAATAACAGACTTTTTTCTATGAGAGCTTATTTGGAGGCTCAATAACGTGGCATCTTTTTTTTTGTAGCGTGTTTCTTTTCTTCTTCCTCTCTTTTTAGACAACCATCCATCCAATGATGCAGAATACGACACCGTCTCAGGCGGCCTTGGCGCTCGCACGAGCTCTCCTAAAACGAGTACCCAACCGCCAATTCTTCTTCACCTTCACAGCCCTCGCAGTTTGGGGTGCCAAGATAATACATATCTACGCACACATCAACGCCGTGCACCAAAATTTATTACATCGTTGGGGGTATTCTTTCGTTACACAAGATGTCGTCGTCCTCACCCTCATTCGACTTCTCCTTGACCAATGGTCTACGAACCTACCCACGCGGTCGCAAATCGCCGTCCTCGTCTTCACCGCGATATTCATGTTCATCAACGCGCTGCTGAGTGTCGTCTCCATATCCTTTTACCTCGTCGCCGGCTCCGAAATACATTACAGCAACATCTCTCTGCCAAACGACCCCTCCTCCAAATCGTTGATGCTGTCAGGCAGCGTCGCGTTTACAAGTGTCCTCTGTGCCAACATCTTATTGAGCTGGCTCCTCAAAACACCTTGCTACAACATCCATGGCTATGTCGCTGAGGTTGTTCATCGGTTGATCGCCAATGCTTGGCAATTGCTTCGCCGCATTCTTCCCCGCCAAAATCGCTACGTCCCTGTCCCGAAAGCCGATCTCGAGGGCCAGACCGAACCCTTCGATGACGAAAGCTCCGACGACGACCTCCAGGAACAAAAGACCCAGCACCTGAGCCCGTTTCAATTCCGACTAAGAACTGCTTTGAGATCCGTGCCATTCGCTCTGGCCGGCATCTTCATGCTCACGCTCCTTTACGCGGCCATCGCACGACCCTCCGATCGATCACTCATATTTCTCTCTTATACTGCAGCACTGTCACCATTCGTGGACTTTTCCTCAGGACCGACATTACAAGACTTGCCCAGTGTTTTCGGCACTGGCATTCAGCATAGCTGGGACAACCTTACTGCGCTCGCGACGGCCGAGCCATTCGATTGGCTTCCCAATGATCAAGTGTTGGCCGGGTTCGAGGATTGGCACTGGAAGCGCCCGCATTACAATGCTGATGTCGACCCATTGAAGATATCGAATCTCGGGCAAGATCTTGTTCCAACGCTGAAGGACAAGCTACAAGACGTTCCCATCCGACATGTTGTTCTGTGCTTCCTCGAAAGCACACGAAATGACGTTTTCCCCATCAAGAAGGATGGAAACATTTGGGACCTTTTAGCATCATCCTTCCCCGACAACACGATTCCTCAAGAGGCTCAAGAGAAATTGGCCAATCTCACTCCCACCGCCAACTATATCACAGGCGACTACGACGACGGCTTCGACCACAAAGGCTCCAAGCCCAAGCGCGGCGGCGTTCACTTTACCAATGCCCATACCACCGGCACCTTTACCTTCAAGAGCTTGGTCGGTACCTTGTGTGGTATCGGCCCATTGCTAGCCGACTTTAATCTCGACTATGCGCACCATATCTACCAGCCTTGCTTGGCTCATATCTTCGAAGCTTTGAACCAAGTGTCCAACGCTACCGATGCCGGATCGCGCCCCTTCAACGACTTCAAGTGGCAGTCATACTTCTACTCCGCTGCGACTTTGGGATATAACAATCAGCAAGAGTTGATGGAGGCAACGGGCTTTCCGGAGGAGCATCTCATTGGACTTGAGTGGCTTCGATCTGAGAATGCGACACACGGGCCAGTGACACTACCACGAATCAACGGCTTTGCCTTTGAAGAAGACCCTCTGGAGGATTACTTCCGTGACGTGTTTGTCCAGGCCAAGGAGAAGGAGGAGCGAGTTTTCCTATCGCACATAACATCGACAAGTCACCACGCCTACAAGCTGCCTGAGGGGGAGGAGTACGTCCCACTTGCTAATGGCCATG